TCGAGGCTATGGTGAGCCGTGATTGTGTCATTGCACTCCAGCCTGGGCAACAGAGACCTTGTGTCAAAAAAATAATTAATTAATTTAAAAATTTTTTTAAAAAGAAGGCTAGAATGGATGGGAGCCCGAACAGTAGAGAGATTTACTTTTGATACAAACAGGGATGTCTCTAATATAGTAATAGGAAAGAAGGCAAAGCATGTGAGCTGACATACAGGTAGATTAGTAGATTCAGAGGCAGGAAGATAAGAACTTCCTCTCTCAAGCAGACATATTCTTTTTCTCTGGGTACATTCAGCAGCTGAGGCACAAGGCCAGATGTGTAAGAGTTGGGCTTACCCAGGGCCGGGGCCTTACAAGTTCTATTGAGTGGGGGAACTAAAGGGAGTTTGCAACTGAAGGACTTTAATGATGGGTAACAAACCAGTGATCTTAACATGGGAGAAGAATTGTCTACTAGAGTGGAGGTGTCACACTGAGACATATTGAGGCAGGAAGGTAGACAGGGATGAGAGTAGAAGGAAGGGGCCAGGAATCTATCTGCAATGGGAGGTGGGAAGGGGGCTGCCCTAAGCAAAAGACCTTCTGTAAGGGCAAACTTGTATGCTGGAGATAGCCTTCCATGGCAAAAAGAACTGAGTTAAAGAACTTCCATAAAGCATGCGCACATTGCAGGAAAAAGCCTCTTGCTGCAGGGCAGTAAACTTGTAGGCAGGAGCTTTCTACCAGGCAATATTTAAACTTGGCCAATGAAATAGAACCACGGAATGGGCCCATTCAATAGATGTCCAAGATTGTACTGACCCATCCAACACTTACTGGGCCCACACAATGAACATCCAACATGACCCCAGTTAAAGAGATATATAGACAGAATGCAACTGTCAGGGCTCTTGAGCCAGTCTGGCTCTGGAGCCTGCTCCTAATTCTCTGGAGTATACTGCCACTTCTGTCTAATACATCTCTCTGTGCTCTTACTGATTGTGTGTTTCATCCAATTCTTTGTTCAAGATGCCAAGAACCTGGTTTTCAACAGAGGACTGTGGCCATAAGTGACCATCTACATTTCAGGGTTGGGTGCCCCTCAACAATATTGGATATAGAATACTTGAAATCAAGATGTCAGAAGTTTTGCAATTACTGGTAATGAAATTTGGAAGTGATGAAGTCAAGGAACTGAGATGCTCAGGCTGTTGGAAGATTCAACAAATGAATACTGAAGTCTTTACTTGGTGAGGGAACAGGAGTGAAGAGGAAGACTATGAGCAACGTGTAAAAGTCCTAAGTGAGAAGAAGGTAAGTCATGAAAACAACAAAAAGGCATGTCTGTGATATAGTCTGACAACATGAGCTTCAAAAGCAAATCAGCCGCTGATAGAGAAAAGAGTAGAAACGATTTAGACTCTGCCTGGGCAACAAGGCGGACACCCACCTTACCACCTCCCAGCATGTGATTTGAGGAACATGGGCTTCCCTGTGTGAGGCCAGAAAGGAATGGGTATCCTTAGAGGACAAGACTATTTCAATCAGAGCAGGTTGAGTTTGTAAGGGAGTTTGCTAAATGATGGATCATGCCATTCCAGCGGGCTTGGTAGAAAAGTTTTGAAGGGCAAAGCAGGTAGGTAGGAGACTGATTCAAATTAAGGAATGAACTGGGCAAGGTGGGGATGAGAATACAAAAAGAATAGATGGCTAGGAGGTTTCAACTTTTAGAAACCAGAATGAGGCAAAGTGACATTTAAGACATTTCAGGATTAAAACTGGTAGCATATTAAATGGTGGGCAATCTGTTTGCTATATGGTTCAGGCAATTTAGCTAGAAAACATGGGACAACTGGGTAACTGCTCAGTCCTGAAATGGGAAGAAGATAGTAATCGATCAGATAAAAGATAAGAATACGCTTTTTAGAAATTGAAGGAACAGGTATTTCACGCATGTAATACCAGCACTTTGGGAGGCCAAGGCAGGTAAATTGCTTGAGCCCAGGCATTCAAGACCACCCTGGGCAATATGACGAAACCTTGTCTCTACAAAAATAAAAATAAAAATTAGCTGGGTGTGGTGCCATGCACCTTAGTCCCAGCTACTGGAGATTCTGAGGTGGAAAGATCGTCTGAGCCCTGAGCTCAGGAGGTAGAGGCTGCCATGAGCTGTCATCATCGTGATCATGCCACTACATTCCAGCCTGGGCAGGAATGAGATCCCCAACTCAAAAAAAAAAAAAGTGAAAGAACATATTCTATTAAAATTAAAATGAGTGTACCCTTTTATTTAGCAAGTTTGCTTCTCAGGATCCAGCTGCACTGCGCACAAACTATGGAGAGACAGCTTTTATCATGAATGCATACAATGGTGAAGAGTTAGGTCCATTAACTTTCTATTGTTAGTCTGACAAAATACTCCCTTAAGGTTAGAGTGGTGAGATGGAATTGAAATAGCTTTATTTCAGACACATATTTCAGCTAGAGAATTCAGGCCATAACAAAAAATGAGATAAAGTATTAATAAACATTTATACCAAATGAATACTGAAGTCATTTACCAAAAAGGAAAGATCCATTTGGTAAAAATGAATGGGAAAAAGAAACAGAAATTAGACGTAATCGTAGTCTAATTAGATTGTAGAGTTTTATTGTTAAAAACTACCTGTTTGCCAATGTAATCCAATTATTTGGTTCCATTATGTAATTTTATAGCATCCTCATAGCTTATGAGATAAATAGCAGCAGCATGACAGTAAAAAAATAGCATATTTCTTTATTTTTTATTTTTTATTTTTTTATTTTTTATTTAAAAAAATTTTTTTTATTTGAGTTGGAGTCTCACTCTGTCGCCCAAACTGGAGTGCAGTGGCCGCTCCCGGCCACCGCAGCCTCGACCTTGCTGGGGCTCCGGCGATCCTTTCCGCCTCAGCCCTTCCAAGTAGCC